GCCCAGATCAGGCTGCCTAATTAGGGAATGAAACGCCGCGTCTGATGTGACCCTGATTAGGAAATTCACATTTTGTGATCGCCCTGATTTGGCCCTGATTAGCGTTTCATTCCCTACTAGGGCCCTGGTAGGGCAATTTCTACACGGAAAGTAATAAAAATTACTTTTTCATTTTTTTCCGTGTATACACGGAAATTTTCTGGTAATTCTTTAACATCGATTTAGAGATTTTACATGTTCCTAAATCTGTTAATTCTACAGATATTTTCTGTAAGGATTTAACGCATGCGCGAAAACAATGCAGTGATTCGACTAAGGCTGAGTACGATTGAGTGCGAGAGGTTAAGGCAAATTTAGTGTTTTTATTATTATCATAGTGTCGGCAAGAAAGTTTAATTAAAAAGGAAACGTCTTAAGTATATAAACATTATTATAGAAATAAATTATTAGAAATTTTTTATTTTAAAATTAACTGTAGTGATTAAGTGAGAAAAGTCGTTTGTTTCAATTTCTCGACATAAGAAAAAGTGGATTTATCATAAGTTTTGAAAACTTGCTCCTCATTTTTTTTGTTAGAAAATTATTGAAGGATGAATTTATTTACATAGAAGTTATACTAATTTATACAATAATGTTCCGCGAATTTAATGTATTCGGAGGAGAATATAACCTATAAGAAATACTCGACCAAATATATATTATCTGTAAATTCTACAGAAAAATTTTTTCCGTGTATAAATGGGGCATTCCACGTGAGATTTGTTTTTTTTTAATCTTAATAAAGATTTTGAAAAAAATTTTGAATGAAATTTTGACATGGAATGCCCCATATATATATACAATAAAAAATATAAGAAATTGTGATTTTTGCACAAGATTAGACTGTATTATATTTTCCTATATATGTGTGAATGAAATAGACGATAGGGGTTGTATACAAGATAAGAGCACAAGAATATATATAAAGGAGGGAGTTAAATTTAATAGCTTTCTCTGGTCGAGACACATGATTTCTAGATCAAACACTTGAACGTGTTAAGAAGGAAGCGGTATAAGGGGTTGGCTTATACATATAGGGGGGATTGAGGAAAGGATTTTTTTTTTATGTTATTTGAGGAGCTCTTGAAAATCCACTCTCGGTGAAATCAACGGTCGGAATTGAAGTATCCTGTATAGATGCTTGTAGATTACACAAGTACGACTATATATATATATATATATAGTCCTTACTATGTATAGAGCTTTTCTAATCACTGTCCTTTACATCAAAAATTTCAAAAAAAAAAAAAATGTCCTTTCACTATACATAATATATTGGCACTTGTGCTATATTCATATAAAAAAAAATTTTAATTTTCCCATCGAACTGTCAATTTTCAAAACGTCGTAAATTTTATTCATATATGATTTCAAAGAAAATCGGGTCAAATTTTTTTTTTTTTTTTTTTTTTAATAAAAGGGAATTTTTTTCTAAAATACAACAAAAAAGTAGGGTAACTGCATTGTCGAGGAAAGTATGATTGACATTTTTATATTCTCTGAAAGTAAATATAGTTTGACAATAAAAAATTTTATCTCTTTATTTTATTTTTATTTAGATTCATTTTTTAATTGAAAATTTTTATTTCAAAAAACTTATTATTGTTTTAAAGAGAATTTATAAAGAATTATTATTATTATTATTATTATTATTATTATTATTATTATTGTTATTAGTAATTGGTAACTTAAGTAGTAACTAAATTAGTAAATTACTACTAATATCAGTATTATTATTATTATTATTATTATTATTATTACCATTAGTATTATTATGAGTAATTGGTAACTAAATCAGTAACTTAATAAGTAACTACGTTAGTAACTGAATTAGTAACTAAATTAATAAACACATTAGTAACAAAGAATTTTGTTAAAAAATATTTTTAAAAAAAAACCTTTGTCATTTAAAATACGACCGAGTGATAAATTCTTAAAAAATATTAATGTTTTAAATATATAATTTCACAAAAAATCTATAATGATCTATAATGATATATAATAGTATATTTTATAATCTGTAATGATTTAAAATGATATATAATGATCTAAAATGATTAAAAATGATTTAAAATGATCTATAATAATTTCTAATAATCTATAATGATCTATAATGGTATATTTTATAATCTATAATGATCTATGATGATTTAGAATTATTTAGAATTATCTATAATGATCTATAATGATTTAAAATTATTTAAAATGATCTATAATAATTTCTAATAATCTATAATGATCTATAATGGTATATTTTATAATCTATAATGATCTATGATGATTTAGAATGATTTAGAATGATCTATATTTATCTATAATGATCTATATTGATCTATAATGATATATTTTATAATCTATAATGATTTAGAATGAATTAAAATGATCTATAATGGTATATTTTATAATCTTTAATTATTTAGAATGATCTATAATGATTTAGAATTATTTAGAATGATTTATAATAATCTATAATGATCTGTAATGATTTATAATGGTATATTTTATAATCTATAATGATCTATGATGATTTAGAATGATTTAGAATGATCTATATTTATCTATAATGATCTATATTGATCTATAATGATATATTTTATAATCTATAATGATTTAGAATGAATTAAAATGATCTATAATGGTATATTTTATAATCTTTAATTATTTAGAATGATCTATAATGATCTATAATGATTTAGAATTATTTAGAATGATTTATAATAATCTATAATGATCTGTAATGATTTATAATGGTATATTTTATAATCTATAATGATCTATGATGATTTAGAATGATTTAGAATGATCTATATTTATCTATAATGATCTATATTGATCTATAATGATATATTTTATAATCTATAATGATTTAGAATGAATTAAAATGATCTATAATGGTATATTTTATAATCTTTAATTATTTAGAATGATCTATAATGATCTATAATGATTTAGAATTATTTAGAATGATTTATAATAATCTATAATGATCTCTAATGATTTATAATGGTATATTTTATAATCTATAATGATCTATGATGATTTAGAATGATTTAGAATGATCTATATTTATCTATAATGATCTATATTGATCTATAATGATATATTTTATAATCTATAATGATTTAGAATGAATTAAAATGATCTATAATGGTATATTTTATAATCTTTAATTATTTAGAATGATCTATAATGATCTATAATGATTTAGAATTATTTAGAATGATTTATAATAATCTATAATGATCTCTAATGATTTATAATGGTATATTTTATAATCTATAATGATCTATGATGATTTAGAATGATTTAGAATGATCTATATTTATCTATAATGATCTATATTGATCTATAATGATATATTTTATAATCTATAATGATTTAGAATGAATTAAAATGATCTATAATGGTATATTTTATAATCTTTAATTATTTAGAATGATCTATAATGATCTATAATAATCTCTAAAAATCTATAATGATCTATAATGGTATATTTTATAATTTATAGTGATCCATAATGATTTAGAATGATCTATAATAATCTCTAATAATCTATAATGGTGTATAATGATCTTTAATAATCGATAATGATCTATATTGGTCTAGAATGATCTAGAATTTAGATCTTCCAGAAATTTTTTTGGAAAAAATAATGTAACAAAAGATTCCCAAACGATTTGAGGCCTTGTAATATAAAAATATATAAAATTAGAAACTTAATTAGTAACAAAGTTAGTAACTAATTCAGTAATTAAATTAGTAAAGTAATAGTATTATTATTATTATTAGTAATTGGTAAATAATGTAGTAACTAAATTAATAAATTAGAAACTACGTTAGTAACTAAATTAATGGATAAATTAGTAACGGAATTAGTAAATGAATTAGTAAATGAATTAGTAACTGAATTGGTAACTAAATTAGTAACTAAATCAGTGACTAAATTGGTAAATACTTTTACTATGCATTAAAATAAAAAACTATTTGTAATAGTATTAAAAAAAAATCTATAAACAAAAAATTTGTATTCATTTACTTTTTATATTTTGTCTATTTTCAAAAGGTGCACATTTCACGTCTTTTTTTTTTTTTGCTTTTTCTCTTGTATTATAAATTAATTTTTTTTTATCATTACTATTATATGTATTTATATGATAATAATAATTTATTATTATTATTAAATAGAAGTAAAAATTTATTTAACAATAATAATTATAATTAATATTAAAACGTGTTGATAATAAGTTAATTTTTTTATATGCAAAAAAAAAAATAAAATAACCGTGAAGCTGATGGAAAAGGAGATACATGGAATGTAGAGGTATACAGACATCATTAACTCACAAATTATATTAGCAGTGTATGAGCGTGTATTTGACAGTGTTTTTTTTCTCTCTTTTGTTTCTCACTCTCATTCAATTTTTTTTTCTTCATCATTTTCTCATTCTCTCACTCAATCTTTTTTTTTTTTTTTTTTTTTTTTATTTTGCTTTCGTACAGGGGGGGCACACACAGTATTAAGAGTATGATTACGATTTATGTCGGAATGTTATTATTTGCTAATTGCCGCCGAGCGAATTGTCCTCTTTACTCAAATGTTTTTTCGCTTCTTTTTTTTTTTTTATTTAATAATCCATTAATCTCAATAATTATATTATTAAAAAAATTATTTATAATAAATTCTATTTCCCTGTCCTTTTTTTTATATATATAGTGAAAATTTACATTATTGATGGGGAAATAATTATTGTAAAAGGTAATTAACTTTTTTTTTTTTTTGTCAATGTTAATTTTAATTATTGATTAATTGTAAATTATTTTCACTTATCTATATAGTAAATAATTTCGAGAAAGCGTAAAATAATTAGGCTGAATTAATTAATTTGTAAATTGGAAAAAAAAATGTTTAGACATTTTTTTGTATGACAATGACAATTCGCTCGGGTACATCAACACATCAATTTTTTTTTTTTTTGTTTTTTTATTTTTTTTAATGGATAACGGAGTATGTATGCCTCTATATTACAACGCGATTGGTGTAGGTGGTGTCTTTTTGTTCGACATCATCGTAAATTATAATCCATTATTATTCATCTTGATCGTCTTCTTGATTAACATCAAGTGAGTCTAACAAGTCGGTATTAAATATCTTACAATACACATCATCTTTTATATATTTTATTTATATATAATATTTATACTTTACCTTTTTCTTCATATATAATAATTTTATTATTGTATACTATCTATCTATATAGGGTAGTCAGATTCTTCTGGATTTTTTTCAACTTATCTCGTTCGCTTCGGTTTTTTTTTTCGGCGGTGGGCAAAAAATGAGAAAATGAGACAAAAAACCTCATCTCTATTATAGCCGTGTCAATTTATTTTTTTTCTTTTACCGTATAACATTCTTTTTTTTTTCTCTTTTTAAACATTCGTATATAACATAAAATGTATTTTGATTAATTTCTCAAGTTTAAAAAAATATCTAAGGGTTGCTTTCGTTTTTTTTTTTCAGACATAAATGATCAAACTTTCACGCACGATAACAGTTTTTATATGGAATGATGGTAACTTCGCTGCGTTGCATTTTTTTTCGAATTCGTATTCTTCTTCTTTTTTTTGGTATATTAGTTTTTATTTAAAATTCTGATTTTTTTTTTACTAAAAATTGCGAATTCGATTATTAGAAATAATTTTTCTATTTTAAACACAGCGAAGCCACTTACACATACAAAATGAGTATGTTAACTTTTAAAGAGGGTGTCATTACAATACCGTCAATACCATATTACAATACAATTACAATATACGTTACATTAGTTGTCTGTTATTAAATTATAAGCGTCGGACTTCTTTTTCTTATCAACTTAATAGTTGCATGTTATTTTTTTTTTTGCGCTACTTTGTAATTTTTTTTTTTCGCGCGCCTTTCTACCAACAAAAAAAAAATAATAATAATTTTCCTTGTTATTCGTCGCTGAAATAAATTAATGATAATTTGCGACCGATTTACACTGGGACTCATAACTTTATTTTAAATAAACTGCAAAAAGTTTTTGATAAACAAATCGGTCGTTTTACAAAGCTACTATATATATATATACTTATAGCGGCGAACAATAGGGAAATAAAAATAAAAAAAATTAAATATCGTCGGGAGGAAGGCGTATTAGTCTTTTTTTTTATACGCACACGTTTCTTTCTACTTTTTTTTTTTTTTTTGTTATTACTTTATAAAATTACATATACAAACACCGCACGTCCAGGGACCCCTCTAAGCGAAATTAACTAATTACAATTAGGTAATTGAGTATTATCAAAAATCAGGTGAAAGTGCGAACACAAACGCGGAGGACTCACGAACACAGTGAACTGATAATATAATAAAAAAAAAAAAAAAAAAACAATTTTGCATAAAAAGAAAGTATAAAGAAAAAAATTAATCCAATTTAAAAATAAAAAGAATTGAATTTTTACACCCAATTTAAATAATTTTTATCGAAATTTTCGAAATTTTTTCTTAATTTCGTAATTTCGAATAAACGAATAACAATCTAAAAATTCTATTTTCTAATTATTATTAGTTATTATTATTATGATTATTATTATTAATATTATTATTATTCTTATTAATTCTTATTAATATTATATTAATATTATTATTATTAATATTAGTTTTTTGTAAATTTTTTTTTTTTTTTTGAAAAAAGAATTTAAAAATCAAGCGAACGAGTGATATGGAAATTTAAATATGTTAATATTCGCTATAAGGGCCAATTTCAATAATTGTCGGACCAAAAAAATGACTTAGATTTGATTTTGAAATTGGCCCAAAAAAAAAAGAAAAAAAGAATTTTTTTTGTTTGTTAAAACATCCTCCTCGTTTATTTTCGAGATCCTCAACGGAAAAAGGTGTTCTTGTATCAAAAGAAACAAATATACATATATTACTTTTTGTTTTTTGAAAACAAAATTAAATTAGAAAAAACAGTTTTTTTTTTTTTAAATTTCTAGTTACTTAAAAAAATACACGTGATTAAATCACTCTAAAAAAAAAATTTTTTTTTTCTACTTACAACTTAAGGAAAATTTTAAATTTAATTATCTAAGTACACTTGAGTTTCTACTTTTTCAACTCATTTAATTATTTTTTTTTTTTTTTGATAATAATTTACATAATTTCTACAATTATAATTTGATAAAAATTAAATATATATCTTTTGACTGAGAAGACCCTTCTCCGCGTAGGTATAATTACGACTGCAATTATGAAAAAAAAAATAAAAAAAAAAAAATTGGGCCACGGAAGAGAATTAAGAAAAATAGAAAAGAGAGCAGTACAGTATTTTTTTTTTGTACATACGAGGGAAATGGAGGATCGGTCGGTTTTCGTAATACATACCTAAATTAATTTCAATAAATAAGCTACCTAGGGAGCGGATCTTTTTTTTTGGGGGGGGGGAAGGGTAGGAAGGGGGAGGCGCTCCTTAGATGACGATCCTTGCAAAAGGACCAAAAAGGATAATTGAAAGTCGTTTCACAATTAATTTGTAAATTTTTATCTAAGAAATAAGAAATTTTGTTTCGTTAATTTAAAAAAAAATTTTCTAGTTTCCAAAAAACAAATTCCATTTAAATCGAAAAGAAAACTAGATTTTTTGAAAAATTTTTCTTCAATATTATATTCAAATATGTGAAAAAAAAATCATGAAACTTCTTCCTTGGATCGTCATCACGTCATATTCTGTACCTAACCTAGTAATACAGTCTGCGATTAGCATCCTAAGGATTAAATTCTTTCGCGGTAAAGTTATTATATATATTACACACAATCATACATTATTTTCTCATTCATATATACCACACACACACCAATATGTATATTTGCATCCGTGGTTTTGAGAAAAAAAAAAAAAAAAAAAATTACTGTAGATTTTGACCATACATTTATATTTCCTCCATATAATAAAATGGCAAAAACCTGTTTTTAAAGGATTTTCACGGAATTCATTTTTCTCCAAAGTACTAAATACTTAATGCTGAAAGTGAGGAATGTATCGGACAATATCGCCAGTTTACAGTTTATCGGCCATTTGATTTTATAGCAACATGAGATCGTCGGAATGAGACTCTCTGCGAATTTACAATAAGAACATATATATATACATATGAAAAAAAGGAGATGAAAATTTACAATATAAAATGGGGCCAAAAAAAAAATTGGTGGAAAATAAAAATTTCCTAAAAAAAATTTAAATACCGTAAAAAAATATATAAAATACAATAAATAGGGGAAAAAAAAACCACACACGATTGCAATTATCACAGGTGTTGTATACACACATACAAACACAACATACTATTTTTAGGCGGCATTAATAGCACAGCGAGCGAGAGTTTTTTTTTTCTTTTTTTGTTTTTTTTTTTTTCTTTTTTTATTATTCTTTTTGCGCGACTTGAGCTCTATAGCGCAGACACATGCGCAAAAAGGAGATAACGAGTGTAGCGCACACGTCGCGTCGCCCACATTTTGTTTTTTTTTTCTTCTTCTTTTTTTGACTGTTGGCGCTGACCTGGCGCGACCAGATTCGAGTACACGAAACCTTTCGTCAGTCAAATATCATCATTATATTCGCACGATAAGATTATCAAGAAAAATATACGAAAGACTCGCAGCAATTTATTTTATATAATAATAATCAAGGACAGTATAACGATTAAGCGATTACCAGCGAAGCAATAGTAATAATATAATATACAGTCATTTTCTTTTTCCATTTTTTTTTTTAGTCGCTAGTTATCAGCCGAACGAACACTGAACTTGTATATTTGAATTTAATTCCTTTTTTTTTTGACTCGATGCATTTGGATTCGATAAAATTAGAGTTATTAGCAATTCACAAAAATAAATTTATTTCAAAAAGTGTTTTATCTTCATGCTCAATTTTTTTTTTTTGTGCTTTTCTCGACATTTCATTAGCAAAAAAAAAAAAAAAGGCTTAAAGCATATAGATATATGTGTGTCTTAAATATCAGTCCAATTTTTCTTTTTTTTTTTGCATGCAGCGATCACGCTACATTGAACATTTGAAAAAATTCTTCAAACAAAAAAAATTGAAAATAATAAATTGACAAATCAGTCAATAAAATTTGAAAAATAATTTTGAATATTGAATATTGTTTTTTTAAAATTTTTTCAAAAAATTCTCTTTTTTTGGTTTTTAAAAAATTGGATATATTTATATATATACTCTAAATTCACCGTCGTCTTGTACATTATTATATCTTTTGCTGCTCTCTGTTTACAAATAGTATAAAAGCTCATTATAGAATCCGATTAGAAGAATTTCTCGAAGTGATATTTGTAAGGCGCGTTGTCGAATCTTTCGCTGCATGTTTATTTTTTTTTTTTTTTGTTAAAGTTCTCTCGTGTTTTGAACACTGGATTTGTGTTATTTTTTTCGGGCAGACGCAACTCCGACCGGACTTGAAATTTAGCCGATTGGATTTATATTTTTTTAGTTACCTGGGACATCCCAACTTATATTGTATATTTATACTTTGAAGGGTTCTCTCTCAGGATCTCACGGATGAGGCAGTCTTGATCCACGAGTCGATATATTAAAACGGCTCAATATTTGCTCGCATGAAGGAAGAGACGACTCCCGTGCCTTCTTCGTAATATGGAATGATCCTCCTCGCGTAACTTCCATCGATTTGAATGTCGATGACGATGCATCGTTACCATTTGTTTTGTTCGACCTCCTAATTGTAGGGAATTTTTTTCAGCCCTTAAATTTGATGATACTTTCTTCAATTGCTGTTGTTGTTGTTGTTGCTGCTGCTGTTGTTGTTGTTTTTGTTGCTGTTGCTGCTTTTGCTGTTGTACAATTGCCGATGGATCAAGCGTTTCTCGCGCTCCCATATTCATTGTTACTTTATTATTATGTTTCTCAATATCTGAATTTGGATTGTATTTGATAAAATTATAACACTCCTGTCGACGGTGTGGATTTTTTATTGGTTTTCCTGCTTTATTAAAGCCAAGATAACGAGAACTATCTGCCGCACTTCTGTACCTCAGATACGAACCGTTATACACTTCGTAGAATTGACACATCGGACCCTTGTGCTTCTTGGTCTGCAAAAAGAATTTTTTTTCCTTCTTAATTTTCACCAAAAGAGAAAAAAAACTACTGGGGTAGAAATAATAACTACTGAAGAAATAACAACTATTGAAAAAATATTAACCCTCCTTAGTACAGGCAGTGAGGGATTCCCTCACTGGTTTAAGTATTTTGTATATAGATTTTTTTTGACACGCTATAGAGCACTGTCCTTCCCTATACCTTTTAACAAAATCCTCATGTATACATTTGTAAAAAGAAATTTAGTTTAAACTAAATAAATCTTTAGTTTTAAATTTTTGAAGACGACCAAAACACAAAAAAGTGAGGGATTCTCTCCACACTTGTGCTTCGGCGTATGTGAAAAATGTTCAAGTTCTCAATGCGACGTTGCCGTTCTTCTGTTATTCGTACCAGAAATCAGAGTTGCCAATGACCCTACCTAAACGCTACTGCGCTTGCGCTACGACAACTCTCTTATAGGTCGAAAAAAGCGCGCTTATATAAAATGCTTAATAATAAGAAAACTTTAATAAAGCAATATAAAAATATTTTCACTATTGAATTTTTTTTTTGTTAATTATATTGCTTCCTAATAAAAAAAATACTAATTTCCTTAATATACTTAAGTATATAATAATAATAATAATAATAATAATAATAATTTTATTATATTTATATCATTATTGTAATTATTTTTTAAATAAAATATTCATAATCTATTATTATTATCATCAATATAATATTTATTATTATTATCATTACTTTCAATAAATTATTATTAAATATCTATGAATGTATTACATCTATATATTTCAAAAAAATGAATCGAATTTTTTTATACTTTTTTGCCAATTCAAATTTTCCTCATAAAAAAGTACAAAAAAATTTCGCTAAAGTTTTCAAAAAATATATATGTATATATCATAGATAATTAATTAATAACAATTTAATGATAATAACAGAAATAAATAATATATTACATAATTAATTAATAAATATTAAATTGATAATAATAATAATAGATTATATATTTTATAAAATAATAATAACAATAATGATATAAATATAATAAAATTATTAATATTATAATAATTATTATTATTATTATTATTATTTTTACATACTTAAGTACATTAAGTAAATTAATATTTCTTTATTAAGAAGCAACATAATTAACAAAAAAATAAATTCAATAGTGAAAATAGTTTTATATTGCTATATTAACGTTTTCTTACTATTAAGCATTTTATATAAGCGCGCTTTTTTCGACCTATAAGAGAGTTGTCGTAACGCAAGCGCAGTAGCGTTTAGGTAGGGTCATTGGCAACTCTGCCAGAAATAAGTTTATATGTAGTGAATCGCCATGTGATCATAATATATGAAAATTAAGTAAACGTAAGTAATTATACATAAACAATCAATAATGGCTTTTTTAGAAACTTTAATTTAATTAATACTTGGTCAGTGCGTGTGTGAAAGAAATATATAAGTAAAAGTTGTTTTAAACTTGTTGTAAAGATGACTTTAACCTCACATAACCTCACATTCGTTGTTTTTATTTTGGATTATTCATATATCATTATTATTAAAAATTGAAATAAATCATGTAATAAGAATGATTTAATTAGATTTTTTAATAATATTACGTCAAAAGTATATTTTAGTTAATGTGAATTTAGTGAATTAACTACTAATTGTAAAAGAGTTTTTTCAACTTGACAGACCGCGGCAGCGTCGCATTTCTTTTGCATGCGAGGGGATTCTCTTTACGGTTGTGCTACGGCGTCATTTTTTTTAGGTTGTACTAAGGAGGGTTAAATAATAATGAATAACTTGTAGAAAATTATATAATATCGGAAAAATATTGGGATGAAGTAATAATTACTGAAAAAATGACAACTATTGAAAAAATAAAAACCACTGAAGAAATAACAAATATTAAATTATATTTATTAACTAGATAGAAAACTATAGAAATATAAGCCGCTGAAGAAATAATCACTGAAGAAATAAAAAATATATAAATAATATTGAATAACTAGATAGAAAACTACATAAATAAGAACCACTGAAGAAATAACAAATATTAAATTATATTTATTAACTAGATAGAAAACTATAGAAATAAAAAACCCCTGAAGAAATAAAAAATATATAAATAATATTGAATAACTAAATAGAAAATTAAAAAAATAAGAATCACTGAAGAAATAAGAACCACTGAAGAAAGAAGAATCACTGAAGAAATAACAAGTACTAAAAAAAAACAAGTATAAAAAATAAAATTTTTAACAATACTGAATGAAAGTAAAACAATATTATAATAAATATACGGAAATCCTGTAAAAAATTTCAGACTAGAAACGAGAAACAAGATTATATTTACCATGCCGACTAGTTTCCACTTCTTGTTGAAGCAAATGTATCTCTGACTCTTATCAGCAAGGATATACAGCCTCCTACTAAAATCCTCTGATTGGGTCGTCAACGATTCTAAAACACACGAAAAATTGCATTCTTACACTGAGAAAAATAATATCGTAATAATAAGAAAATAATTTAGTTAAGCATTTTTAGTTGGCCTTACTAAAGTATGGTTGGCACAACAGAAAAGAAAGTGGCAATCAATCAAAAAATTTAGTTTGCTCTACCAAAAAATATTTTTGAAGGTTTCATGTCTACGAACTAAACAGTTTGGTTCTCCGTACTAAATCGCTGGCACGCAGAATTGCGCACGCGCTGTTCTCGTAAATGTGGCGTCAGTCGTGGACCTCTTCCGCGTTATGCTTATCCGATTATTTATGTCATGTGTTTTTATTGTTCGGCTGGTCTATTATCGTAGCAGTGTCATTAAAGTTTTATAAATATTTATTTTTTAAAAGTGTACTGAAAGTGTTTCTTTTATTTCGAAAGAATGGCTGACGAAGTGACAAAACGTTTGCTAAGAGAATGGAGGTTAGAATGCCTCGTGTCATTCTGTATCAACTTTTGAAAACTTGCTCCTCAATTTTATGCGATATCATTTTGAGATATTTCATGAAACGCGCGTAGTGTGTACTTACGGGAAGATAAATTATTTTTGTATTAATCTCATCTCTCTTGAATTAAAATACCTTATTTTTTATGCAAAATCGTAAAAATGACCAAAGAAACTATTTTAGATCAAATAAATTATTTAGTTATTTCTACAAAAAAATTTTTTTTAATCAACGAAAACAGTAAGTTGAAATAACTAAATTTTATTTACGTCAACAGAACATTTTTTTTCATTCTAATAAATGTATTTATTACGTAGACTAAATTATTTGGTTACACCTACTAAATAATTCAATTGAGCGAAATTTAACGGTTGGACAAAAAAATTTAGTACTCCCAACCAAATGGTTTAGTTGCACATATATCAAATAAAAAATTTGGTAGGGCAAACCAAACTTTGATACATGATACCAAACAGTTTTCTCAGTGTATTAATTAAATATAATCTTCTCTCCTTTTTCATAAAAAAAAAATAGTCCTTTCATTCTTTCTTCAATCTTTTTCACATTTTGCAAAAGTTTTTTTATTCTTCAATCACATTCTCATTTTTTTTTCTAAAATCCTGTTAAGAGCAAACTCTCGAGTATAGATCCTGCAAACAGGAACAATTATCGATGCAAAATTCCTCTTTACATGTTTTTGCGGCAGCATAGTAGGCCTTTGCAGACATCACTCGAGGATGTCAAAGAAACCGTCTCTCTCTCTCGTTCTGTTTCCACGTAATCTGTGTATAGGCATTCGCGAGTCGAATTGCGATCTTCTGTGTTTGGAGAGGCGGAAATGAGAGGAGAGAGGTAAAAAAAAGAGAGAGGAGAGAGAGAGAGAGTAGTTTTCCAAGAAGAGAGAGACGTTTATGACGTTGTACCTACTTCGGCAAGGCCCTCTCCTGATTCTCTTCTTTAAAGTTTTACTATATATTATACTCACGAGAGATGGCTAAGAAAAGAAGAAAGACGTGCGGCTAGTTGGTGCTAATGAAGGGGACACAGACGGGGCCCGTGTGTACATTGCCACTTAGCGTTGAAACTTCGACTTCAAAGTGCACACTATGGCCATATACTCATGAGAGAGTATGTACCATCTTTCGTACCAACGATTACGAAACATGCCAAAGAGAGAATCGTTTCGCGAGAGTCAAGAAGAAATAATAATAATTTGCGTGTTCTTTTGTTCTATAGAAATACCAAAAAGGCTTCGAAAAATATTTCTCCGAAGAAAAAAGAAGCTCCTAGATTATAAATCCCGTTAATTTAGATTTGAGTATTTCTTCGTTGCTCAATTTTTTTTTTTATTAGATTCTTGAATGCAGTAAATAAAATCCATTGATTTTAATTAATTAACGAATTTTTCGATTATAATATTTATGAAAAATGATATTATCTTGAAGTCAACGGCCTGATGAGGTGAATGCAATAAAACAAAGCATTGCTTCATTGAATACAGGCACCTTGTTTATAGAAGTTCTACGAATGTACAATAACAGAATTGACAGTCTCTTTGCGGAAAACTATTTTCCCTCTGTATATAGATAGTCAAGAACATGATGTAATTTCGAGATAGAATTCGATATAATGAGAAAAGTAGGCCAAACATTTTGAATTAAAAATGTTCTTTTAACTCTACGTCGATATTTTTTAAGAAAAATTAAATAAAAAGATTTACCTAAATTACTCCGAATTAGAAAATAAAAACTAGATTTCTGTATTACCGACCGTGGCGCTGTGATCTGATATTTGTAAAAATCTTTTCGATTTCTTCATTTAAAAAATTTATGAAAACCTATTGATCTTTCAAAATACAGAAGTACGGAATGTTTAATCTTTATTTTTTTTATTCCCGCAATTTCGACGTGAAAATTTAATTCCACTTTGATCTTGAACAGCCGCTAGGCACTGATTATGATTCGCACTATTCATCGATCTCGATTTGCAAAGTACTCACGTGGATAAAAAGAGAAATGGGGGTGTTACCACTGAGAGAAAGAGAGAGAGAGAGAAAAAGAGATAAGAGCGTGAATCAAGTATGAAGGAACAAATAGCTTCTCTCTCACGAGCAAAAGTTGCAATCGGCGTCCCATCGCGCGGTAGATTCAATTAATTAGTAGAAGCACTGCAATTAATTGGTGCTCTCTCTCTCTTTTTTTTTCTCTTTCTCATAAACGCTTATGTTTCAAATTAAGCTCATATCCTTTAGGCACGGGAAGCTGCGCAAAGTATATAATCGCGTTGAAAGTCCGTCTAATTGTTTATTAACTATATACTTTAATTAAAAAATTATTATAACGTTACTGTAATTAACCTTTCATGCATAACAGATATTATGAAAAGGTTAACTTGTATCCTGTGTATTGTTGATTTTCTTCAAATAATATTTATATTTCAATTCTTATTATTGCAATAAATTTAAAACAGTGAATAATAATTTTCGTAATTAACTTACATTATAAAATATACGTTAATTACGCAATTTTATTTACAAAAAAATGTACACATCTGTTAGAAAATATAAATCAAAATTTAAAAACTAAATCTGTTAGACTTCACTGATGAAATGGAATTTAGGAAATGAATCACTGATTTCAATTGAAATTCTGTTATATATTCCACTAAAAATTAGTAGAATTCTTCGTTTATTGAAATAGTTAAATCTGCTTTACCGATTAATGATAATGTAGATTAGACTAAATTAGTAATAATTCGATTGTTTTTCAAATCTGTTTTACCGATTATAATATGATAAGGCAGACTCGACTATTTAAATCAGTAATTCGGCTGATTTTAAAATCTGTTTTACCGATTATAATGATAAAACAGAATCGACTATTTAAATCAGTAACAATTAGGCTGATATTCAAATCTGTTTTACCGACTATAATGATAAGGCAGACTCGACTATTTAAATCAGTAATTCGGCTGATTTTAAAATCTGTTTTACCGATTATAATGATAAGGCAGACTCGACTATTTAAATCAGTAACAATTCGGCTAATTATAAAATCTGTTTTAACGATTATAATGATAAAACAGATTTATCTCTTTAAATCAGTAATTCGGCTGATTTTAAAATCTGTTTTACCGATTATAATGATAAATCAGAATCGACTATTTAAATCAGCAACAATAAGGCTGACATTTAAATCTGTTTTACCGACTATAATGATAAGGCAGATTTATCTCTTTAAATCAGTAATTTTGTTTTTAAAATCTGTTTTACCGATAACAATGATAATGCAGATTTATCTCTTTAAATCAGTAACAATTCCGACTGATTTTTGCTGAAATGTGACGTGAAAATTTAACTGCATTAATTCAGTCTCTAAATTCCAGCTATATTTCTTCAGTGAAATCTCAATAAATCTTTATTGAAATTAAATTTCAAAACAAAGAAAGACACAAAAAAATAAAAATGCCAAGTCAACAAAAAAATATATCATCGATGTAGATTTTTCATAATAATAATAATTTTTACACAATTTCGTAACCAAAAATTTTGCACACTATATATATATATATATATATATATATATACAGGAAATAATAAAACGTCTCGATTGCCGTTTTACTTGCTTGCAAAGTTTTGCTTTGCTGCGTTGAAAGCGATCACCATTATATATATTTTGTATAGGGTGAAAAGCAACGCGAAGGAATTTATTCATGGATGTTTTTTCTCTCTCTCTCTCTGACCCCATATATATATATAGGTATGAAAAAAGAGAGGTTTGCAAAGAACCTTCTGATCGGAGCCGCCACTAGATTAGAGGCTGCCAAATGAATTAAAAGCCAATTTTAATCAAAAGCGGACACCGGCTTTTAGGCACGATTACCCTCGATAATAACCGATGGGAGGGTCTTGCCCTTTAACGGATAAGAAGAGAGACTTCTTCGGGAGGGATAAACAAGGGAGAAAAAAAAGAGAGAAAGAGAGAGAGAAGAATGGATCATCTCATATTTTACTCGTACGTGTTCCTATTTCCAGTATCGAGAATCGATTTACTTCTATATGGAGTTTGCAATTCTTGCGCTTTAAAAATTACTATCTCATTTGAGTATATAAAAGAGACACTTTGAACAAGTTCACATTTTGATTGCGCGCAAAAAAACTTTATCGTAAATTTTTTTGACGACAGCAATATAAAGTTTGACTAAAGTATAAACTAAGAAAGAATTTTACTTCTCTCGATAGTTCTTATATATAGTTTAAATACTGTTCAAAAATATGCTTTGCTGTTAGAAAATCTTTTTTTAAATTACTTTTTTCTTTTTTATCACAAAATAGTTCTTTTTTCCACTCTTTTCAAAAACAATTCACCACTTTGAAAATATTTTTACTCTCCTTAAAAATTATCTATACAGTTGGAAAAACATATTTGGTGCGCAGTTTGAAAAAGTAATTTCAGAATGGTAGAAGAATAAAATTTTTTTTTGAAGAATTTACTACTATCGCTCAGTGTCTGAAGT